TGTATTAGCAAAATTGCAAGAGAATCACACATTTACTTACTTCGATTGCGATTATAATTTTTCAATATTGGCAATAAGAAGACATTCATTTTTAATTTTTTGCAAAAGGACCTAGATTTCGTTGAGCGATAAATGTTGTAAGCGATATATTTTCTAATATAACTTGCACTGTAAATAAAAAAAATACAAAATAACAAAATAAAGTCATATACACCAAATAACAAACATAGATATGATGATCACATATGAACAACAGCGAATTTGGCTACAAATTGCGGCAAATCTGATGTAGCAAGAAGCTAATGATGGGAATATGTGCAGAGGAAAAACGATGAACACAGAACAGTTTCTTTTATTTCATATATGATAATAATTGTCGTCTCACAATATCACGTACATATTAATAATCTTATCAAATCCTAACCAACTAGACTAAAAACAACCCAAATAAAAGAAGTCCAACACACGACATAAATACACACTAACATAAATAAGGATAATATATATAATAATAAACACACTAAAAGTCAGAGTCGATCATGTATATCGAGAAACGCCAACGCACTCTCGTCGGCATAAAAAATCTACTTCGTTATGTCCTAGGATCTATAATTTGAGACAACAAACACATCTATATAGGGTCTAAAGTCTAAACCAATGAGTTATAAAATTTGAAGCAACAATCATGCTGAGTTGTCGAGTTATAACTTATAACTTCACTTTAAACTTATTGTCTCGATTGTCAGACGACTAGAGACAACGTGATTGAATTTGATTGAGTTTACGCTCTTGTGTATCTTACAATGACATGTTATGGTAGACAATGATTTTACAATTTTTTTTTTTCATTATTTTGATGGTGTAAATTGTGCTTTACTTTGCAAAAAGTAGAAAGTAGTACCCTAAATTGCCAAACTAAAAAGTTGTGATTATATGCATGCAATTCAAGACAAATGTTGAGATTTGTTATATAAATGTTTTTTTAAATACTTGTGAGAAATGTGAGGGTCTAACGATACTAGGCTTTGTAAGACGGGTCGGGCTCAAGACCGCGCAGCAAGACGATACCATATTAACTAGTTCACTTTCAGTTTTGCCCATTTTCAAGCGGGTCTCTCAATTTCACTCCGAACAGTTCACAGGTACCTTCTTCTCGCCCAACTCAACCCCAAAAATGCCGCTCACGCACACACTGTCTCACACGGTAGTCTTTTATATTCGAGGAATTTCTTCCATGGCTTAATTTCTAGCTCTATGATGCCTTTTTGTGTCCTTGCCTGACAACTGTTTGATGATATGCCGGAAAGAATTTCTTCAAACATCAGGTGAGTTTGTGGATTTATCTTTCTGTGGGTTCTTTCTAGTATGCCGTATTAGACAATTTTGCTCGTTTGTTTTGCGTAATTTAGCCCCTTTAATTTGTTAGTCATTTTCATTTTCCCCATCATCGAGCTTTGCATTTTTCTTGATTTTTTTTTTTTTTTTNGTGCTCTTTATCAATTGTTGTTGTGCTTCCTAAAATTATGTGCAGCCTAGCTCGTATGAAATTAATTTTTATGGTTTTGGGGTTGTGTACTAACTACACTGTAACTTCCCTAATATTAGGTAATTATTATAGTTTGAGCTAGTCGAAATTGAAGTATTCAATGTACGAATAACATAAATTTTATCTAAGATCTGTTGATCAAACCGATTTCATCAATTCCCTTTCTGTTTTATTATCATTTTTGTTAATATTCTGTTTAGTCGGGTCACAGGTGGCTGATTAATATAGTTCCATAATGTTCATTTTTCCTCGTCTCTTATCAATGAATTATCAAAGAAAAGAACAGTGGTTAACGAATATGTTTGTCTACAATATGCTCAGTGTTCGTTCATGCGGTTGAAAATGAAGTGCCTGAAGGACTACTTGCTTGGTTTATGCTATTGAATGCATTTAGCTTTATTATTGTTTGGGCTCTGTGCTACATTAAATTTTCAAAGACAAACTTCTTATTGTGCTCTAGATCTGTCACTGATTTCATTACATCATCTCTGGGCCTAATCATTCATTTTTTTTTATTTATTTTTGGTTAAATCTTATTTAGATAACATAATGGTTATCCCTTTCTTCGATTTCCCTTCTTTCGACCCTCTGTTCATGACATATTCTTCTGACTCAGTTTCTCCATTGTTGCATAACAGTAAGCGAGAAAGATGAATACGGTGGCATCAATATACAGAAGATTAAGCATCAGGGATCTAGTTGCAAATACTCCGGTTTATACCTCTGTCACTGGTAAAAAAAAAATTAATCTTGTTTAATGTGATAGCTGTGTTTGCTAATACTATGTCGTAATCAACTCTGTTTATATTGAAAAAAAAAAAAACTACAGATGCATCTGGAGATGGGCTGAGCTTAGTTTTTAAACGCTGGGCCACCAAGAAAACTGCTGGATCCACGAAAAATGGGCGTGACTCTTTGCCCAAGAATCTCGGTGTTAAGAAATTCGGTGGAGAGGTTAGTTTGTCAACAGTGCATCCTAAATCTTTATCACCATATTCATTGTCTCCCAACAAAATTTCATTACAAAAATTATATGTACCCCAAACATTTTAAATTTTGTGGTACAACTGTTTTTTTTTTTTTTCAAGGCTGAACCTTTGGGTAGTTTTGTAACTATCCCCCGCATGTGAATATATTTCTGTTATCTGATGTGGCTGTGTGATGCAGAGAGTGATTCCTGGGAACATCATCGTCCGCCAAAGGGGTACTCGATTCCATCCGGGGAATTATGTGGGAATTGGAAAAGATCACACGCTCTACGCTTTAAAGGAAGGATGTGTTAAGTTCGAGAAGAACAAGCTGACTAAGCGCAGATGGGTTCATGTCGAACCCAAAGAAGGCTATGAAATCCATCCCATCTATGCTGGTGCCGGGGGAGAGTCTTCTAAAATGAAGACTGCTGCTGCTTGAAATTTGTTTTCTAGTAAAATTACAGATAAGTATGTTTTTCTTTATTAAGGCACTGGTGAATGGTGATTATCTTGCTCGAGTGCTTTTGAATGCTAAAGGTGGTTTTCATTTTCAAGATCTTGGGATAGTGCTTTTGGATGTCTTGTGTTGTGATTGAAGATTTGACGATAGATTGTTTGCTTTTTGTAAGCTTCTATTTGAAATAATTAGCTTTTTTCTTGTTTCTGTTTTTACTTTTTATCAAGTATTTAATGATCCAGGTAATTTTCAGTTTCCAGGGGTTATAATTTTTATCAAGCTTCTATTGAAATAATATTTGGTGTCTGTAATTTTCCCATTGATGTAGGTGCAGTTTTTAGATTTATTTGAATCGTGAAGGGTAATATGTAAGAAGGAATTAAATCTCAAGGGGGTGTTCATAATTTTGAAGAATCTCTGTATTTTTAATGTACTTAGGCTATGTTTGGTAAAACTAGTTGATAAGCTAGCTGATAGCTGATAAGCTAGCTTATAGCTTATCAGTAATTTTTTAGCTTATAGCTTATGACTCATAGTTGAAAAGCTAACTTCTATGATAAAAGTGTTTGATAAAATTAACTGATAAGCTAGCTGGAATAAAAAATTTAACTAGCTTATTTGAAAAGCTACATAAAGAAGCTTATCAAATAAGCTCGAGCTTTTTAAATAAGCTCGTCCTACCAAACAAGACTTATTTGAATACAGGAAGCTTATAAGCTAACAAATAAGCTATAAGTTAGCTTATTTGGTTTACCAAACATAACCTTAGCTTATAGACTTCAAATGGGCTTCTGTTATCGTCTCTACTAATTGGATTTCGGCTGTCCACGCACAGCAGGACCCAATTTAATCTATAATCAACTGAAAGCTTTGTGCACTATAAATTGTTTATTTAATAACAGTATTTTGAAAGTACAAAAAGAAGAATCCGAGCTATCACAGATGCTTCGGGATATTATTCTAGTGATCTAACGTGCAATAATTTAGTAGTAAAACATAAATGATAATGCAACAAGGAAAAACACAAGCAAATCCCATAACGACCTGACCAGTAATAGATTCCGACCAAACCAACTTATGAAAATGTTCGTGGAAATTCGAAGGGAATTATCCTAAGAATTGACATCCGCATGATCACAAAAACACTCGAAAACATTCACGACACAATTGTTCTTTACACGACAACAACTTTTGAGATTCAGAGACTCGTCTTTTGTAATGGAACCTCACCTTCAATAGGAACTGCATAAACAACATTGTACTGAAATTCTGGCAATAAAGAAAAGTGATTTACGGCGTTTGTCTTAATATTACGTAAGATTCATCGCAAAGTAAACATATATCTTAATATTTACGTAAAAACCAAAATTACTCTGATCTGTAAGTCTCCACATTGAAGAATGAAGAGCATCTTCACTAATTCCACTATCTGAGGTGCAAGCCGTCTGCTTGTAAATATTGAGTTTTTTCTTAGCGGATAAAAACTTTCACCCCGTAAACCTACAAAATGGATCACTACACTAAAGATCAAAATGGAAGCATTTGGATGATTTTGGTTTCATGGCTTTCAATCCCATTTAAAAATAAAAAATACGACTTTCGTAATGTTAACGTGTCGGCTTTAGAGGGACTATCAGTTTTTCTTATATGTACGATGAGGGTGATACAATATAAAGTTTGCACAATATCAAGTTTTTTACACCATACATGCTGGTAAACAACTGTATCACTCACAATGTACAAAAGAAGGATATTATTTCTCATAATTTGTTTATAGACTGTACACATCAATTTGCTCGACAGAAACTTTTTTCTTTACGATCATTCATCTGGATAATCTGGTGGTGGTTTGTATACGATGCCAGATTCGAATCTTGTCCGTTTTTCCACAGCTTCCTTAACTTTCATGTCGAATTCCTCGTCCGTGCTTGCCAGTATGTACTGTAGCTTGAAATTAACCCGATTTTCGATCATAATCTTGTGCCTAGGGATTATTCGCTCCTCGAGAGAATAACTGAAAAACCTGCCATATCACGAAAACTTTCATTCCATACTCAATTCAGCTCAAAATCTAACTCAGTTTTAATTCAATTCCACTACTTCAATATTATCAATATAATTAAATAATATCAATCAATCATTCTTACAAATCACATCAACTTTAATTCACTATTCATTCACTCACATAATTTTAACTAACCGTCACTTCACATCATCTATCTCCTACTTTTACATCAAATCAACTTTAATCAAAATTTTTGTATCCAAGCACAATATCTCACACACTTGTAAACCCATCACATAGTGATATCAGGAAAGTTCAATTTGATAATTACGCGCATACCTAGGAAACTCGATGACATCTTCCAAAGGTCGAATCATTGTTCTTCGCAAGTAACGGTATTTGGGACGAAGCAAGTCTATGTTATAACGGAGGAGCATGGGAAAATTAGAAATCATCCCACCCAAAACGGGAAGTGATATACCGAGTGATAGAAAGTACTTCACATTGTGATCTAATTTGTTCGCTATGCTGCAACCCAAAAGCTCGGGTGCAATGGCAACCACCTTTCCGATGTCCTGTTGAGAAACCCCGGCTTTTGTCAGCAGGAAGATGACCTATAGAGAGAGAAAGAGTAGAATGAGTAAGAAATCCTCTAGTGAGCATATTTGTTCGGGATTTCGAGTAAAATTTTGAAACTTTTTGAGTTTTGAGACTTTTTAAGATTTTCAGGTTTAGGAGGAATTGAAATCATTTGGAGTGGGCTTTCATATATGGTTTTTTCTTTTGAAATCCCAACAAATCTGAAAAAGTCTTAATAAATCATAGTCTCAAATAAGTTAAATACCTCAAGATTTAGTAAGACTTTTTAATATCTCAAACGAATACCTCGAGACTTTGAATAATCTTAAAAAGTTTAAATTAAATACACTAGGATTTTTAAAGTCTTAAAAAGACGTTAGAAATCCCAAAGGAATACACCCATAAATTGATTATAAAAACTACCCTGGAGTTAAAGCCTAAATACAAAAAAGCCGACGGATCCTTCAAAATTGCAAATAATCAATCCCTTAGAGATTCATATTTACTTCTGTGTGTGTTTCATTTTGATCCTTCCTTTGGGTGTGTTTCACTACTTCTGTGTCAAAATCAAAATCAAATGTCATGGTCATTTTGTAATATTAAAAGGTGACATTTTTGTTTTCTTCTCGTCTTTGTTTCTTCTCCTTTGGTAACTATTTTATTAAATTCATAGTGATTACATCCATTCATACTTTAAAAGTTAAAAGGTTTACGAACATACCACAGGGCGTATCTTCTTGTAGAGACTGTAAGTCATCAACGAGGGAAATCTGGCGAGCATTGTGGCAATGGCATCTTCTTCAACTCCTATATCTACTAAAAATTGGACCTTTTTCCAAAACAATCGAAAATGTGATAATGAATAACTATATTAGATTCCCATAGAGAAGATGCACGTACATAATAAACGATTATCAACTGGAGAGCAATTTCAGCAAGTCAGAAAGGTATATTATATATATATATACCTTTGGTACGATTGTGCTTTCGAGGTCGATACAGAAAACTATTGGCTTCATAGTGAGGATTCTTCTCATCCCAGCTTTCGACATTCCAAGGTAATAAAAGTACCTAACAAGAGGTTTAAATCTATTTTCAATGCTACAAACCATCAGGTGTGGTTTAAATGCCAATAATCTCCCCACATCTTCAGTTCTAAGTCCAAACTCCTTCAAATATGCCACCTAGACCAAAAAAAAAAAAAAGTCAGTTTATAATTGAAAATCACAAACTCAAAAGTAACATTTTTTTTTACCTTTTGGTTCATCTCCTCCATGGAGAGATAGCCAATAACCTTTGGACAATCAAAAAGCATTGTCCCAAAGTCATTTTTATTCATACCCATATTCAAATAGAATTCGGCACGAGACCTCAATTCCTTCATGCTAAAAGTCAAAATTTCGGGACACCTGCTGATAACATAACCCATCCAATCACTTCTCACACCATTGTCCTCCAAATACTCGACGATCTCATCCAATTCTTCTAATCCGCGCCTTAATATAACTTCACCAGCTCTAGTTAACGTGACTCCAATGAATCTGCCTTTTACGTGGATCGATTTTAACCATTCAGCCAGTCGTTTTATGTTATCTAGCTTTCCCTTTGATGCGCATATGAGCTTCCCGATTTGAGGGTATGACAGTGAGTTGTGTTTTAACCACCTACAATAGGGTAAATAGGCAATCGAATATTCAGATAGCATGATCCAACATGTGTTACGCAATCATATATCGAAATATAAAATTATGAGACATTTAGTTCTACAAAATTGCTAAGCAAGATCAATACATATAGAATGCTACATTTACAAGGTCATGATTCTAAATCAGAACAATCTAGCCAATCAATCATACTGCGGATGGATATACACGACAAATCAGTTTAATCCCACAAAAAAATGCAAAGCAAGATCAATCATTTTTTTTTTTTTTTTTTTTTATACAACATCACATAAAACTAAAAACTTGGTTATTCACATAACAAAAATACCTTATAAGCGGTACAACCTTACACTCATCGATAAACACCTGCGCACGGGCATTATACGAACACTCGGAGAACTCGGGATAACTCTTCATGTGGACAGCCTTGATCATCACATAATCGATAAATTCAGGAATCTGAGAGACCAAATTCTCATAATAATTTATCGCGAACTTTCCTTTCTTCATAACCTCCTTGAAAATCTCGACGGTCACTTTCCTCCTGATGTCGAGTGCCTTGACGAGCATTTCGTCATCCACCTCACCTGCACCATCAACCCCACCATTTCCGCCTCTGAAAACGCTCTCCAGAAGCGGGGAAGAAGGGTTCGAGTGGATGGACCCGGGAAATTGTGGGGTTTTCTTGCCGATCAGAGAGACCTCGAGCAGCTTCTCTTTGTCCTGTTCGAGCAGCGGCAGGAGGCTTTCGAGGTTTTCTCCATGTGGGGTTTGGTTGTCCGGCGGAGAGAGGTGCCGGTGGAGAAGGGCCGAAGACTTGGCGTTGTGGGTTCGGAGAATGGGGGTTTCAGAAGGTGGTGCGGCGGCGTCGTTTTCTTGGTCGGCGGCGGGGTAGTGGTGGCTTTGGCGGGAAGAGGAGATGAGTTTTGCCGGGGGGAGCTTGGAGATGGTCGCGAGAGGGCGAAGAGTGGAAGGGGGCGGAGGGAAAGGGTGGTGGAGGATGGCGGGAAGGTGGCGGCAGTGGTGGTTGGGCGGAGAGGACAGGAGCATCTTTCAGTTTTCCGGTGAGTGGATAAGCGAGGACTGATAAATGGAGGGATGTCATTGGGTTAGGCTCATTGATTAATTGGTCACCAGTGGAAGGGGTCAAGTGTAAATTGGGAAATTGTTGGGGGGACCATGTCAAATAAAGTGAATATAATAATTAATAATTTTCTGAATGCAAAATAGCCCATAATATCACGATCTTTTTTTAAATTGCAATTTAATCACGACCTTTTAACTTTTGTAAATTATATCACAATTTTCAGTTTATTACGAATTAATACACTGATTTGCATAATTCGAGCAAATTATATCATAATCTTTGGTTTGTTCTTCTACCACATCATCTTGGTTTTCAGAAACTGCACACTAATATGCATGTCAGCCAATCCTGTGCTCGCCCGCCATGTCGCCGCTAGCCCAGCGCAGCGCGCCCGTGTCCTATCAGTCGCAGTCCAGCGCGCCCCTGCGTCAGAGGCCGCGACACACCCTCGATCCGTGTGCAGCCGCGCGACATTCTCGCGCGCCCCGGCG